GACCCTCAGTGTTTCCTCTCCCCAAGTACTGGAAACCGAACTCAGGACCTTCTCACTGAGCTGCATCCCCAGCCCTTATTTTTTGAGACCGGGTCTCACTACGTCATTATGAGGCTTGGGCTGGGTTTAAATTTGTGGTCCTCCTGCCTAACCTCAGAGTGCTGGGATTACAGATTTCCACACCACGCCTGGCCTGAGGCTCAAGATTTTTATCCATTCATTTATTTTATTTATTTATTTTTTTTTGGTTTTTTGAGACAGGGTCTCACTATGTAGTTGAGACTGACCTGGAACTCACTATGTAGCTCAAGCTGGACTCACAGCCATCCTCCTGCCTCAGCCTCCTAAGTGCTGGGATTATAGGCGTGCACCACCAAGCCTGGCAAGATTTTTAAATACTTAACTTTTGCACGAGATAAAAGGACTAGGTCTTGAACCTGGTGTCTCCTAGTCTAGTGCTCTTTTTCACACACCCCCCATTGTAGGTTGGCTACCCCTCCTGCCTCCACCTCTGGCTTTGAGCTCTTGGACCCCCCCCCCAAGAATGACCAGAATGTAAAAATCCAGAGATTGTTGTAGAAACCTCTCAGTGCTGCAGTGAGGGATGTAGACCGAGGAAGATAGAGGCAGTGGAGGCTGCCTGGTGAAGTGGGGGCGTGCTTGTAATCCTAGCATTCAGGAAGCTGAGTCAGGACTGCTGAGTTTGAGGCCGGCCTGGACTATGCAGACAACCTCATCTTAAAAAACAAACAAAAATCCATAAAACCTATCATTTAGTGATGTATACTGTAAAATCCACAGGTAATTATGTTCTATTCAGAATCTGTTTCAGAGGCATCTGGGGGTCATTCTGGCCACAAGTGCTGGTCCGAGTCGGAGCCAGGTGAGGGGCCAGGGAGGGCTTTTATCCTGAGCTCTGCATTGGCAGGAGCTGGAGATTCTGGTGATACAGGTCTGCATTTGACCAATTTATCTGTATGGCTTGCACAGCACCCTGAGGCCTTGACCCATGTGGCTGCCACAGTGCCTCCGGCCGGTGTCCTAAGGATGAGACACGTGCTCCCTGAGAGGGTGTGGAGGGGTCAGGGAGTCTCAGCTGACTGCCTGCTTTCAGTCCCCACAAGGCCGCCGCCTGCTTCTCTTAGCCGCTGGGCAGCTGTGTGGCTCCCCGGCGTGGTGGCACTGGAGGGTGGCCGGGGACTCGCCACGGCACAGCACCACACCGCCTTGGGCCCTGTCCCTCCTAGATCATGAATGACTGGATGCCCATCGCCAAGGAGTACGACCCTCTGAAGGCCGGCAGCATCGACGGCACAGATGAGGACCCCCACGACCGCGCCGTGTGGAGGGCGATGCTGGCACGCTACGTCCCCAACAAGGGCGTCACCGGGGACCCCCTCCTCACCCTGTTTGTGGCCAGACTAAACCTGCAGACCAAAGAGGACAAACTGAGGGAAGTCTTTTCGCGCTACGGGGACATCCGGCGGCTGCGGCTGGTGCGGGACCTGGTGACCGGCTTCTCCAGGGGCTACGCCTTCGTGGAGTACAAGGAGGAGCGCGCGCTGCTCAAGGCCTACCGCGACGCGGACGGCCTGGTCATCGACCAGCACGAG